AGGCCACTTTAACTGCCCTGGCTCAGTGCTAAGGAATCATGGGAACCACTGTAGTTTATTGTGGCACCAGAGCTCTCTGGCAGAAGGCTCAATGTCCCAGAAAAAAATACAATTCCCATGATTCCCGAGCACTGAGCCAGGACAGTTAAAAACCATTAGCGCAATGGTGCAATTATCACGGGATATTCCTGGGATAATCGCGCTTTGAACAGGGACGTCATGTGAAAATGTTAATTGCAAATGTGCGATTTTGACGGGTTAATCACCGTTTATACTTCTAATTGTCCTTGTGTGATAAATTGTGTGATAAATTCCAATTGTCCCCATGTTCGCCTTTGCCCCTTTAAATCACTGAAGAGATGGTGTGGGGAGGGCAGGTTTTAAAAAGATAATTTAATTTTAATTTAATTTTTTAAAAAAAAGTGTTTGCAAACATCACATCTTATCGAATCTTCACTTCAATAGAAATGTGAGCACATTCAGCCAGTGCATATGATATTCTAATTTAAAGATATATTTTTTAATTTTTGCTAGTAGTTTATGTCACAACTACTATACCGGAATTACAATTTATGAGTAAAATCAGTAGAGAGCCACTGGGGTGTAGTGATTATTTGAGCATTGAACTATGGTTCAGAATACACACTGCAGAAATAATCCAGTTTGAGAGCATTTTAAATGACCTGACTCAGTGCTAGGGAATTCTGGGAACTGTAGCTTTGTGAGACATTTAGCCTTCTCTGTCAGAGAACTCTCATAAACTACAATTCCCAGGATTCCCCAGCACTGAGTCAGGGCAGTTCAAGTAGCCTCAAACTGAATTATTTCTGCAGTCTGTTTTGGACCTATGATGACTCTGTAGACCATGGTTTGAATTCCGGCTGGATCATGTAAACCCACAGGGTGACTTTAGGCAAGTCACACTCTCTCAGCCTCAGAGATGGCCATGGAAAACCCTCTTGAAGAAACTTCCCAAGAAAACCCTATGATAGGGTCACCTTAGGGTTTCTCAGTCAGAAACAATTTGAAGGCACACAAGTAGAAAAAAACAATATTAAGGATTCTTGTATGATGTGGTATGAGAGCAGGTGCAGGGTGACCAGATATCAAAATGAGGACAAGGCACCGCAGAATGTAGGACATTCAAGAAAAATGTAGACATTACACAATAAAAGCTAAAAGCTCTCATATAAGTGCTTCTCTAGTCATGCTCAAAATAGGAGAACGTTTTGGAATTCCTCCTGGACAGAAGGTTCAAATGGAAGCCATGTCCTGGAAAAGGAGGACGCCTGGTCACCCTGAGCCAAAAAGCACTAATATAAATGTAAATTCAAGCTTCTTAGTCAAGCTCAAAATGGGAGGACATTTTGAAACTCCTCCTGGACAGAAGGCTGAAATGGAGGACAAGTCCTGGAAAAGAAGGACGTCTGGTCACCCTGAGCACAAAACAACAAAACAAAACTGATATAAATGTAAACTCATGTTTTTCAGTCATGCTCCAAATGGGAGGACATTTTGAAACTCCTCCTGGATAGAAGGCTGAAATGTAAGACACGTCCTGGAAAAGGAGGACGCTTAGTCACTCTGAACAAAAAACATTAATATAAATGCTTCTTAGTGATGTTCCAAATGGAGGACATTTTGGAATTCCTCCTGGACAGAAGGCTGAAATGGAAGATACGTCCTGGAAAAGGAGGACGTCTAGTCACCCTGAGGAAATGCTCCAAATGGGAGGACATTTTGAAACTCCACTTGACCAGAAGACTGAAGTGGAGGACATGTCCGGGAAAAGGAGGACGTGTCTGGTCACCCTCGCTTTGTAACACCAGCCCCAGTGACGCCATTGTCCCGAGGTTTGGGCGGGAAAGCCACCATCAAATCCTTCCTGCCTCAAATCCTTCCTCTTTCCCGCGTTTTTGTTGCTAGTCGCGCGGGCGCGCCTTCTTCAGAACCTCTCGCTCAACGCTAAAGCGTTCCTATTGGCCGCCTACTCCTCCTCTTGCCTTCTGATTGGCTCTCTTCCCTAGACCGGTGAGTTAGTGCTAAGGCGAGCGCGGGAAGGCAGACTGGGCTGGCTGGGTGGCTGTTCTTTTGCTGGTACTTAATTTGGTGCAAGGTGAGATAACAGAATAGGAGGCAAAGAGCTTGGCGTAGTGGTTTGAGCGTTGGATTATGACTCTAGAGACCAGGGTTCGAATCCCTTCTTAGCCATGGAAACCCACTGGGTGAGCTTGGGCAAGTCACACTCTCTCAGCCTCAGGGGAAGGCAATGGCAAACCTCCTTTGAAGAAACCTGCCCCCCCCAAAAAAACCTTAGGGTTGTCATAATTCGGACTTAAAGGTTACACAACACATATACACACATATACACAGTAGACAGGCAAAATTAGGGGGAAAGTGGTGGAGTCCAAAGTTTTTGCAAGACAGGAGTCGAAATCTGGAGAATGGTAGGAGAGAGATTGTGGAGGATGTTTTCAGAAACATTGCAAGGGGTGAGTGGGAATATAGAGATGTTTTCATGAAACAAGATTCCACTTGTTTAGTTTTTCTTTCCTGTGATCAAGACTTTTAAAATGGACTTCAAAACAAGCTTCAAAATGTTCATTTTTTCTTTCCTTGAAGTCAGGACTTTAAAAATGGACTTCAGAACAAGCTTCCACTTGTTCACTTTTTTCTTTCCTTGAAGCCAGGATTTTAAAAATGGACTTAGAACAAGCTTGGAATTGTTCATTTTTTCTTTCCTTAAAGTCAGGACTTTAAAAATAATGTCCACAAAAGCATGAGAAAGTGACAGACTGTTGACACACCAGAAAACATATCCAGGGTTAGCCATGTTGGCCATATAGCAAAGTACAGTATCATCCAAAATCTTCAAAATAGTAGTACTTTTATTGGGCCAACCAAAATGTGTATCGTACAGAGGCCATTGTTTTATTTATTTTGGGGCAGGGTGACTATATCCTATCTGCAAAGGAGGAGAAGGCACCGCAAAATGTAGGACATTGAAGAAAGATGCAGGACACTACAAAATGAAAGCTAAGAACACTAATATAAATTCATGCTTCTTAGTCATTCCCAAAATGGAGGACATTTTGGAATTCCTTTCCTGGACAGAAGGTTGGAATGTAGGACTTGTCCTGGAAAAGGAGGCCATCTAGTTACCCTGTTCAGGATATTTATATCCTATCTTTCTCCCAAAATGGAAGTAATTTGCTCTCCTAACTGGCATTGTGACCTTTATGTGGTTTCAGGCTGGCATTTTTTTCCTAACCCTACTCTCTTGGACACCTCAGGAGATGAACCTTGCACCTTTTTAATGCAAAATGTGTGCTCATGGGCCTTCCAAAGTGTATTTTAAAGCCCTGCTCTTAAACATTTGTTTACTCAGAAGTAAATTCAATTGCTTTCCATTTCAGTAATTGAAAATAACTTATTTCAGTAGGGTCCTCAGCTGAAGAAATGTCACACTAATAATGCAGTACTTAGATAGTATGAGTCCTTACATCAGGAGAAAGGTGTGATATAAATAAATAACATAATAAGTATGTGCATTACTGAGGGAGAGGAAATATGCCCCATAATCGGGAGAAAGGTGGGATTTAAATAAATAAATAATATGTGAAAGCAAAGGCTTTCACAGCCGGCATCCGTAGTTTTTTGTGGGTTTTTCAGGTGTTCTGGAAGATGCCAGCCATAGACGCTGGCAAAATATCAGGAATAAACTTTTCTAGAACATAGCCACATAACCCGAAAAACCCACAAAAAACAAATAAATAATAATAATTAAAAATAATAGTAAGTATGTACACTACTGAGGGAGAGGAAATATGCCCCATAAATTTCTCTGAAATTGACAGCCAATAGGTTATTGTAAAGGAGAATTTTTTTAATTAGAAAAGTTCATAAGGAAGCTTTTTGTTCTTTTGCTGAAGTGCCACCCATGCATTTGAGCCCTAGTATTTTCACAAGTTAAGGAGTCTGCTGCATACATTTCAGCAGGTTTTCCATTCAGTTCTTTCACACAGAAATAACACTGTTGTTTCTCATCCTGAGACTTAATTTTGCACAGTGATTTGCATTTATTATTACATATCAGAGGGCATCACTGACACCTCTAAGTGTGTGCAATAGGACAAGCCCTATTGTCCTCGAAACTTCAAAAGGGATGTATGGTAAAGGGAGGGGGGTTTAAATATTTTGTCCCAAAAGATCACAGTTCTGGAATGTACCTGTTAACAGGTTCTGAAGTCAGTCATTTATGTACAGAGATTTTTGTAAATTAATCTTTTATGATTGCGAAAACAATAAGGGGGATGTAAGCAATGAAAACTCGTGTTCTGGCTAGTTCTATCCTTTGGTCATCATGAGTTTGGTACAATGGGAGGGAATTTTATGATACAGGTTGACTATCTCTTAACCAAAATTCTTGGAACCAGAAGTGTTTGGGGTTTTTTTGTTTTGTTTTGGATTTTGGAATACAGTTGGCCCTCTATATCCACAGATTCTCTATCCATGCATTTAACTGTCCACAGCTTGAAAATATTCCAAAAGAGATACATTCCAGAAAGCAAACCTTGATTTTACTATTTTATATAAGGGACACCTTTTCACTGTGCCATTGTATATAATGAGACTTGAGCATCCATGGATTTTGGTATCCACAGGGGGTCCTGGAACCAAACCCCAGTGGATACCAAGGGCTCACTGTACTTATATCTACATAATGCTCATATGTACATAATAAGATATCTTGGAATTGGGAACCATGTCTAAACACAAAATTAATTTATGATTCATATTCACCTTATACGTGTAGGCTGAATGTACTTAGATAAAATGGTTTTAATAATATTGTGCATAAAACAAAGTTTGTATACATTGAACCATCAGAAAGCAAAGGTATCACTATCTCAGCCACTCATAAAATAAGTTTTGTTTTTTGGAGTACTTTGGATTTCCAAGCCTGTAGCAAATCGTGATCTCCTTTTCCACAAGCCTCTCGTAGTTTCTTAGGTCTTACATAGATTCTCACTCCAATTCTAAGCATTTTTTACTTGAAATGAAAAAAGTTCTGGATCCAATCAGACTTTCACTCCAAGTGCATATGATTGCAGCCAAGCAGTCTGACACAGGTTTGTCCTATCAAAGGATACAGATATAGGACAGTGAACATTGTGGTCTGGGAATGGTATGTCACAGAGTTACTGTTATGTAACTAGTCCAAATGTCCAACCTGACACAGTACTGCTTCAGGCAAAAAATCATTTTATCTCTGGCCTCAACTGAAGAAACACTATGATACCTGAGTCTTGTGATAAGTGATTGAGTCCACAGCTAGTCTTTTTGACACACACATACCAAGAATCATCTTTATAAAGCTTGCACAAAGAGACTTGTGCTAAGTTGTCCACAACACCAGGCTATTTGTTTCTTTTAAACGTGTGATACCTTTAAAGTCATGTCATGGTTCACAAACCTAAAATGCATCTTTCTCATACTAGAAGTGCCAATTAGGGCTATGATTTTTTATTTTATTTTTACAAAACTGGAATTGCTACATAACTATAGGTTATAGTTGGCCCTCCATATTTACTGGTTCTGCATCCACAGATTCAACATAGCATCACATTCACTGAGCTGATTTCTCATTTATCTCCCCTTTCTCATTTGGCCCTGTATTCTTTGTTCGAATACATTTGACCACATGAACACAAATAACTAAACCTTAGCACAGGGGCCGGCAGCCTACGGCCCCCGGGCCAGTTCCGGCCCAGGTCGCCAGACTTACTGGCCCAGGCCGGCCGCCGCGCATTTTGGCCTCCGTGCAGCCACGCGCGTCACGGCCGCCATTTTGATTTCCAAAATGGCGGCCACAATGTGTTTGCGCATGCGCAGGAGTACTCGGCCCAGCGGAGAGGAGGACTTCGGGGGACCAGCCCAGGGCTCAAAAAGGTTGCCTACCCCCCCTTAGCATTTAACGGTATTATGTATCAATAAAGTGAAAAGCAATGGGTTTCGTGTAGCTTTGAGGTCTATCTCTGTTTTGTTGCAGTAATTCACTGACAGTGCAGAGTTGTTTTTTCAGTACTGGAATGGCATTGTCTTGCAGTTTTTGATGGAGACAACTGGCAAATGCAACACCCCTTATGTGAGAGTGACTCCTAGGAATCGCCCGCGTCTGCAAGATCCACAGCCTCAAGTGAGGAAAAGGCGCTTGACTCAGGCACGTCAGAGAGCTACACTTGCAGGGCTTTTCAACAGCCTACGAGAAACTGTATATGCTCAGCAAGAAAATTCTGTATCAGAGGTATAGAAATAAATCCGCACCAAATACTAAGCATTGCTGTGATAACTAACATTTACATGTTTCACTCATAGTAGTTTATGTGGTTTTAATTTTGAAATTATACTGAGCTTTATATCTTAGTACAAATGTTTCTTGCTTGTTTCAACTTTGCCTGAAGATGATTTTAAATAGGGTTGGAATGAATGATTACAGTTACAAATATATAACCTCGAGCTGTTGATTGTTGTTATCTGCCCTTGAGTAGATCTCGATTCATGACAACCTAGTGGATGAGACATCTCCAAGACCCCTTGTTTACCATTGCTCTGCTCAGGTCCTGCAGGCTCAGACCAGTGGCCTCTGATTGAGTCCAACCGTCTGGTATGTGGTTTCCCTCTCTTTCTACTGCCCTCTACCTTTCCTGGCATGATTATCTTTTCCAATTATTTATGCCTTCTCATGATGTGACCAAAGTACAACAGCCTCAATTTAGTCATCCTGGCTTCCAGGGAGAGTTTGGGCTTGATCTGTTCTAGAACACATTTGTTTGCCTTCCTGGCTGTCCGTCGTATCCTTGGCACCCTTCTCCAACATCATGTCTCAAATGCGTATTTTCTTTCTATTAGACTTCTTCACTATCTAGCTCTCACATCGTACCTGGTGATAGGGAATATGATGGCTTGGACTAGTCTCACTTTTGTGTTCAGAGTTATATCTTTACACTTTATGATTCTGTCTAATTCTTTCATAGCTGCCCTTCCCAATCCTAGTTTTCTTCTAATTTCTTGACTGCAGTCTCTGTTTTGGTCAATGTTTGATCCAAGGTATGGGAACTCCTTGACTATTTCAATTTTCTCATTATCTAAGATGAATTCTTGTAGATTTTCCATGGTCATTATTTTTGTTTGTTTTTTAATGTTTAGCA